AAAAAAAAAAAAAAAAAAAAAGAAGAAAAGAAAAGAACACAAGGAACATTAGGGGTACACGACAAAACGTTGGATTTTTTTGAATTTATTGTCTTCTCGATTGCAACTCGAGGACAATTGGTACGACGACACTCGACCCTGCAAATCCCAGTCGTAAATCAAAGATCAAAAAAGATCCCTGAAGCAGGTGTTCAGCGTCGTTCGATTAAAATCGAACGTGACACCTTGGTGGAAGCCGAGCCGCCCGGCGTAAATCGTCACGAGGGTAGGGGAGGGGGTTTGGGCGGGTAAATTGCACGAACGAAAGTGGAAATTCTCCGGGGGTAACCGGATCCGGAGGTCGTAGGTTAGCATATTAAAATGTCCGCGTGTAAGGAACACACGTATCTCGGCCGGACCTAAAGGTGTGCCAAGCACGAAGACCTATTATGGCTTCTGCGATATTGCTGTTTCATCGGAATCGCGGCAATATTTTAGAGTCCGGCTCGTTCGTGGACTTCCTTTGCCCCCGATCTGCTCGATCCATCGACGTTTCATCGATATCTTCGCCCGCTCGGGAAATATGACGAAATAATTCGCCGGTATTGCGGTCGAGTGTCGTAAATCGAGAGGTAACGAGACGACCTCGCGAATATCGGAGCGACCCGCCCGCCGTCGAGATGATTTCTACCCCGTTTCCATCGTGAATTTACGCGAGTGTGTTAGTATTCCAAAGGGGCTGAGAATTAACAGCGCTGATGGAAGTCAGTTTCTTGATAGTTTTAGTTTAGCTTGTTTATTCGTTTAGATACACGACTGTCTTGCCCCCGCAATCGGAATTCTGATCTTTCAAGTATTGTATTATAAATTCGTAAATACGCAATAACCGTCGGAAGTTTCGGACCAAGAAATAACTTTATTCTGTCATTGAGATAAAGAGTCCTCGAAAATAAAAATCTATTTTACAAATAGAACGTGAATTGTATTTTACACGTAAAGTGAAATAACGAAAACATTTTTACAAGGAGAATTCCATTGACTAGAATAAAGTTTTACTCTGGGAGAAAACTAGTTGTAACATTCGCTACTCTATCTACTCAAATTTCATTATTCTATTTCATTAATTACGAATATTAAATCATTATTGTATATAATTAATTACGCAGATATGAACAAATTATGTAACTATTTGAAAGCGAAATGAATAACTATAATTAACTAATAGTCTTTCTTTCTTATAAGCAAGAAAAATGTTTGCAAAGTAAAAAAAAAACATTGCCCTTAAATCTCATCACTGAATTTTTTTATCATTATTCAAAATTTTCAAAATCTCATTACATTTCTAATGCTGCGGAAGGAAATCTATTTCTACTTACCAATTCGGTGTAAGTTAAACGTAACTATTTAAATTGAAATTGAAGATCCACTTAAAGATCAAGAAACGAAAAGAACTCTTGAAGAAAAGAATAAAGAAAAGTGTCGAGGTGCTCGAGATGCGCCAACCTATGTCGTTTTCTGCCTAATTATCATATTTTGTACATAAAAAAGTTGTTAATACACGACTTAATACAAAATAATGCAGAGGAACTTCCAAAGCGAAAGAATACGAGAAGAACGGTGCCAAAAAGTCTGAGATTGTTCCGTAATATACAAATTATTCCTCTTTGAATTCGAGAGTTTTGAAACTAAAGAGAGAGAGAGAGAGACATTACACACAACGGTTTAAGTTTTTGATCGAGTTATTCCCTTACGATTCAATAACGCTACTGAAATCAATACACAAAGCTTCGTTAACGATCAAAGACAAGAGATTAACTAAGTATACAAGATTAACTAACGAAAGATAAGATAATTTGATCACTTGGAACGGAAAAGAAGAGGATACGACGAACAGTGTCAAGGATAGAGAAATCCAAGGGACCAAAATTAAAGCAGGAAAATTGTGAATATTGCCTTAGTTACAAAGTATTTTTTCCGTTTATTCTCGGTATTTCGAAGAACTCCGTCAGAGAACCGAGAACAAGAAACATGAAGAACATTTTGTGTGCTTCAATGATAATAAATGTGACAAGATGAAGATGTGAAAAATTCTATGTCAAACAACACTGCGTGTTACGCATACAGTGCATACAGTAAATGCTTTTTATTTATTCATGTTATTCCGAAAAAGAATTGTAGAGTTGACAGTGTCAATTATTGAAAGTAGAAAGATCGTATAAATGATGAAATAGCAAAAGGGAAATGTGTATGAGTAAATCATGATTTCTTTTAGAATTAGAGTATTAAGTACTACAAACAAAAAATCAGTTGTATGTGAATGTATCGTCATTTGTTGCTCAACTCCCTCTTTCGTTCATTCATATTCATTTGGAAATAAATTTTCAGAATCGAAACGATCAATTATCGTAGATAAAGGAATCACAGATTCAGTTTCAGTTCCAGTTCAGAAAGGTTTCAGAATTAAAGCAACATTCACTAAATAATGACAAAATAATAAATAACCCGTCACGAAATGTCACAAAATCCTCGAAAGAAAGAAATCTCTCAATGCACCGACGACGGTACACCATAATGGCGGACTCGTTTAAATCTCGCGACGCGAGTCCCCTATCCTCCCGAGTTCCCCACGCAAGTCTCGTTTTCTCCTCGCTTCTCTGTTTTCCTCCAGGGAGTCGGACCTCGAAGAGTACGGCAGGAAGGAGGCCTCCTTGTCACTCAGGGACATCCTCCCGTTGAACCCGAAGCAATACGACAAGCACAGAGCGCCCAAGTTCCTCGGCCAGCCCACCATTGTCTACTTCCACGTGACGGTGCTCAGCCTCGACTCCATAAACGAGGAATCTATGGTAATTTCGCCTGGCGCGAAAGAGAGACCGCCGCCGGGTACTCACGTTTAATTAAGACCTAACCCAACACCGGGAGGAAGCCTGCTCCGCGCACGAGGCATCGCGCGCCTCGAACAGAGGGGAGAACCGTGTAAATGGGGTGGCTCTCGCTAGGAGTTGAAGAGACGCAAACCTTGGCTGCGGTGTTTCACACCTTTCCGGGCCCGTGTGCCTCTTTTTTCTGGCACATCGTCGCTAACGCGTATGCAAATTGGGCCACGTAGCGTGTAGACGCTCGTGTTTCGTCGAAGGTTAACCGGGATTAAATGGCTGAAATAACGATTATAAATTATATTCATTTTTTGCCGGGAATTTGGCCTCAGACGTTTCTGTAATTTTTTTCTTTCTTTTTTTTTAAGAAATACGAACGATTATCAATATTTTGGAAACGATCTCATTTTTATTCCATAATCAATTAAGATTTGTACAATTTCTTTTTCCGTTTCCAACAAATATTTCTTTGACGAATGTCCGTTGAATTCGTTCATTTGAAGTTCGTAAGCGAACTTCGCTTGCGTCAACGAAAAATCATGACGACCGACGGACTACTTTTTTTTTTCGTAAAAATATTTCAATTATTTATTTGACAAGAGTCTCTATGTATGAAGTTTCCGACAAGAGTTTCTATATATAAAGTTTGACTTTAAAGGTAATTCTCCGCGGAATTGAACATTTCATTGGCTCTGACTTCTAGACGTACGTCGCGGATATATTTCTGGCGCAAAGCTGGCGAGACTCTAGATTGCGACTTCCGGAGAACATGTCCGAAGAGTACAGAATATTGGACGTAGACTGGCTGCACAATATCTGGAGACCTGATTGCTTCTTCAAGAACGCGAAGAAAGTCACTTTTCACGAGATGTCCATACCGAATCACTATCTTTGGCTGTATCACGACAAGACGCTGCTGTACATGTCGAAGTAAGATCAATTGTCCTGCGATATTTATATGTTTCTTATTTGTTCTATTTTTTTTTCTTTTCTAGATTAACTCTCGTACTCTCTTGCGCGATGAAGTTCGAGTCCTATCCTCACGACACTCAGATTTGCTCAATGATGATCGAAAGTCGTACGTATCGTTCGTTACGTAGATGTATGTTTGTATAGATTAATGAAACTCTGATTTATTAATCCTTTAACTATGGTCTTCAACTTTAACGTAGCCAAACAGATGTCGAAATAAAATTTACGCAAAATACACATAAAATACAATAAACGAATGTTTAGTCAGTACTCGTACGTAAATGTATATATTTATGCTTGAAGTACGTGGAAATTTATTTATACAGAGGCAATTTATATTATAGTAACATTATATTTGCTCGTCTAAAATTAAATTAATCAATTTGTGTTTTAATTTAATTTTCACTTCTTGGTGTTCCACAGTCGCGATTTCTCAAAAACCCATAGTTAAGGGATTAATCAAGCGTCGGCTAGATCTGCTTCTCATATTTGACCCAAGAAATTGAAACTTTCTCTTAATAATGCAATTCCGACCCAATTTAAATTTCGAAAGCGTTACTTTGTCCGTAAATAAAAATTGCGTAAATTGCGTCAACGCGAAGATCACCCTCGACGAACTAGCAATCTTCATTACGCAGAGTACTGAATACAGAATTTTCTAAATTTTTGTAATCTAAATTATCGTGGTCATTTATAATCCAATATATAACGTTACTCGAGCTTTAGGCATTATTGTTCATATGAGAAAAAAAAATTGATGGAAGATGAACTGAATTTATTATAAAAGTGATTATTTTGTGAATATCGACAGTCAAAAATTTAATGGATTTCTACTTTACACGGCTGCTATTTATTAAAATCGTTTTCATTTCATTTTTACATAGTATGTGTTATACATTAAATTTTTCTTTCGGATGAAACACAACAATGCAAATTATAATAATCACGTCGTATCATCGTACAAAAATCCCAACAAGTGTTTTGAAACGGACATAAAAATTTCAAACAACCTTGATCTATGATAAGCTAACGATTTTTATTCGATATTTTTATCTAAAGATCGATGTCTCTGAATAAAAAGATATCTTACACGCCAAATTCGCATACTTTCTCGAAAATGAAAGGCTTAACCCTGTTGCCTTTCAGTGTCGCACACCACGCAGGATCTGGTGTTTATTTGGAACATGACGGATCCTTTAGTGGTGAACCCGGAGATCGAGCTTCCCCAGCTGGACATTTCAAATAATTACACGACCGACTGCACGATCGAGTACTCGACCGGCAACTTCACGTGCATCCAGATCGTGTTCAATCTGCGCCGTCGGCTGGGCTATCATCTCTTCCATACGTACATACCGTCCGCGCTGATCGTCGTCATGTCGTGGATCGCGTTCTGGATCAAACCGGAGGCAATCCCGGCTCGGGTCACCCTGGGAGTGACGTCACTGCTGACCCTCGGTAAGGTCATCGCTACTACATTCTGGACGACGTTTCTTCGCCGACGTTTTCCATCTCCGTAGATCGATCGACTCGCGAAGAACCTCGCGTACACCACTCAAAGACTCGGTGCAGATGAACAGTTTCTTTAGGAAAGCAGATGAACAATGTCAACACGAATTCTGCACCGAATTCAAAATCGTGTTCTTCTCGAGTTCTCCTGTCGTGCTCTTTTTCATTTTCATTTAGTTATTTATTTATTTATTTATTTTTCGTTGAGACAGCGAATCGCGGCTTCAACCCTCATCCGATTGAAATTTGCAAAATTCTTGTATAAGGAAAATAAATTAAATGAACTTTCTTAAAGATAAGAAAACAGATAAACTGAATAAAAGTGAGAAAATAAATAAACTAAATTTATATATTTAACAGCTTCGTATCTTATTTTTTGTCAAACTGATCATTTGATTCGAAACCATAAAGCACACGCATCTTCGAAACTAAATGGTGAACTAAATGCACAATCGCAGCATGATATGATAATAATTCATAATATGTTGCCAAAAGTACATGTTATATATTAAAAGTACAGTGTGATATTATATATAGAAAAATTGACGTAAAGGGCGGATGAGGGTTGAAGTTTGAAACGCGCAGTACACCGTGGCCATTCAAACGGCACGAGTTAGGTGCTTTCGAGTTGAGATGAATCGACGAGGGCACAGAGACTACGGGAACAAGTGATATAGCATTCATGCGTTTTTCAATCCCATGTACGGAATAATGAGATGTCTTTAAATCATGGCTCATAGAGTTCGTAATACGAATAAGGGCTCGGGTTTAGGTTCGAGCTCGTTTTAGAAGCAGTCTGCGCATGAGCTCGTTGAAAAGTGTGGGACATGTATTTTCAGAATGGTTACTCATACTTCTGAAAAGAATGGTCGTGACTTACTTTAATCTACCATAACTTTAGTGAAATGGGAAATTTCTCATATTATCTCTGTGGGATATTTATGCCTCGTAAAGATATGAAGTGTGAGAAGTTTAGGAAAATTGATAGTGTTGTTAGGAAATGTAGAAAAGAGGAAATAGATTGCAAAATTATAAGATTGATGTGCACAGGATGTGGAAAGGAAAATGTTTTATAGGGTAAAAGAATTCGTGATAAAATATATGATACACGAGATAGAAACGTCAGTGAAATTGAAATAGAAAATAATCAATAAAAAATGATTATGCTTACATTAGATTGAATAATCAATCCTTGAAGATGATGTTACTGAATATTGAGGTTCTTTCATCTCATAATGGACATATTATTGTAATGCTGTGACCATACACGTGGAACAAAAAGTGTTGCTGTTGCGGATAATTATTAAATCACATTCACCCTTGTAAATGAAGTTCATACAATCGTGGTCCTTCTGCATACATAAGGGATAGGATGTAATTGCAAAACGAATAGCAAACAGTAAATTAATGTTAGCACAGAGCGACCGAGAAACGTCCCCATTGTTTGATTTGCAGCGACTCAGAACACGCAATCCCAGCAATCACTGCCACCGGTCTCCTACGTGAAGGCCATCGACGTATGGATGTCCTCGTGCAGCGTGTTCGTGTTCCTCTCGCTCATGGAGTTCGCCGTGGTGAACAACTACATGGGACCCGTGGCCACCAAGGCGATGAAAGGCTACTCCGACGAGGATCTAAGGGAAGCTATCGACGAATTCAAAGTACGAGCCTAGATTTCGTTAAATACTTAAATACCTCTTTCATAAGCAAGCTTAAGTCATTTATCATACCACCATAATTTTTTTAATCCTTTGTTGAAGGCTTTCAGAAATTCTGCAACAAGTATAACAAAAGGTGTAGAAATTAAATCTTCCGTAGATGAGCACGGCATTTGATCTTCTAATTTTTCCAAAGACATGAGCTCTTGAAGTATCTGCAAAGATCCCGGGACAAATATTAAGAATTAGCTAGAAACTAGTAAAAGAAATTAAAGTGTCAAATACAAGAAAAAGTTGATAATACAATGAAGAATACGAGCTTCTATTAATACATTTTATTAAAAATCACTCGAGTATCTAAAAATACACTATCATAAATATATGGAAATTTCCATGGAAAATTATAAATTGGTTATTTTTGACCACTTTGGTCAACTCCTAATGTTAAAATGATTATTATACATGTTATACGATTAATTTCTGAGTCAAATGTTTAATATACAAGTGTTTTGTAAAAGATTAAAAAATTAATTACGGACATAGACAACTGAGCTTGCATGCTGAAGAATGAAAGTATGCTTGTCCACAGAATTTCTAATCAAGAGTCCATTGGATTCCTAATTTAAATTGAAACAGTAATCCTAATTTAAATTGAAACAGTAATAAATAGATTACTTTTATGCATGTATTAATAGCTTCGTAGAGATCAGTTTCATCAATTAAACATCACGTGCGACATATTAACGTCTAACGCTAGAGCTAACGCTAGATTGCTATATCTACATTCCTTACTTATCAAACTATCATATCCAGATCATACTCGATGCATTTCGTTTGCATTTTGCAAATCCTTCCAAATTTTCCGCGAACGGCAGAAACAACGAGAGAACCGTCGTATTGAAAACTGAGAGAGAGAGAGAGCTACAACGTTCCCTCGACTTCCGCCAGAAGTTCAAGAAACGCGCGCGATGGGGGAGGGAACCATGGAACACTACGGAACAAAAATATCGACGCCTGGCAGCCTCGCGGAGCGTAATAAATTCGCGCGCCTGGTAATTACCACGGTCGAACGAGGAAATGGGAAATCGTGGCAACGACGGGCCACGGGCAGCGAGAGACGAGGGAAAATTCGCGGAAAACCGGCGGAAATAGGAGGCAGAAAGGCCGGACGGTTTTCACAGGGCAGGCGGATGATTCATGGAACGGTCGCGGCGGCGGCGCGTTCTCGTTTCGCATTCACCCAAAGAATTATGCATCTCGAACTTACAATTAGCAGGGTTCCTGGTCGTCCTGGACGTAAATAACAAATGGCCGCCGGTTTTCCGGTTGCGCGAACGCTAAAAATGCTAAAGATAAGACCGCGAACTAGGAGTTTTACCGTACAATATGCCGCAAGAAGAAGAAGAAGAAAAAAGTTGCTAAAGAAGACGTTTGTTTCCGCTCTTTGCTCGTCTTTTTTTTTTGGTCTTTTTTCTGGTCGGCCGTTTAATGGCGACATCTTGCGAGAGAGGAAGAGAGGGGAGATTGGAGGAAGCCAGGTACACGCGCGAGCTTTGATAACACCTGACATACTTCAACCTCAGCAACCCGAAAGTGCCGCGACTTTAATTAACGCGCTCGCTCTACGGCGAATCTGGCAACTTTCTCTCGGCTCCGGCAAAAACTTGTTATATATTAAAAGAAAAGTAAACGAGGAGGAGAGAATGAACGGCGGTTAATGAAAATATTCGAAAGTTGATGATGACGGCGATATGAATATCGCGTGGGATCTGTTTGGGAAACTTTTGGCAGAGAGATGGGTCGAGATATCGTAAAGGAAAAAGAACTAAATAACCAAGTTTAACTATGTAATTGTATAGTCGAACAGAATATCCAATTCACTTCTTAAGGTTTGAAAACGTAAGAAGTCGCTCGTTGGATTTACATGTATACTAATCGAACATTCGACGATGAATCAAAAGTAAAAAGACAATTTCAATTCAAAAGAAGTGACTTTACACTTTGATACAATATTTTGTAATCTAGACTTTTCATTGTTCCATTTAATTTGTTCAACTTTGAAACAAATAAATAATGTTTCTGAGCAGAATAGAATGAGAAAATAAAAGTAATTCAGTCAGCTCGCAGAAATCAACGACGTGTCTCAATTATTGATTCATTAATACCGTTTCAACGTTGACGTATAGGCATAATTAATGGCAGCGGCGTAGCGTGAATCAGCCATGGGTCGCCTTTAAATTCTCTATATTTGCGAAAACCGCGCGGCCGCATCGCTTAAAACGCAAACACGTAATTTGCCGTGGCCTGTGAATCGAGATCGCGTCGATTTTTTTTCTTTTTCTTTTTTTTTTTTCCACGGAGAGAAATCGCGTTTTTTCAGAGGCGAACGGGGCGACTTCGCTTCGCATAAAGCAAACCGTGTCTGTTTCACTTGACGTTCCGTTTTATAAAATTAAACGTCAATTATGACACGCCGAGCGGAGGAAGCACGAAAGCTTTCCGGAACGGAATGCAGGAAAGAGGTTGAAGAGGTTACGTTTAAACGTAATGCCGCAATGAAATTGAATTTAAATCATCATCACTTGCGCGCGGTTTATCGAACCTTCGGCCTGACAACATTCTGACTTAATTATCTCGTTTTTCCATTCGTTACACGTAGAAAGAGATTTTTACGAGAAACGATATAAAACATATGCCAGAAGAATTCAAATGAGAGGAAGAAGCTTGCGATACGTTAAAGAACAAAATCTTTTATTTGAACGAAAAATAGTTTAAATTCCTAAAGCAATGCAACTGCAAGACTATAAAATTTTTGTGAGAATTGGTAATAATGTTGAGAGATGTAGCATTATTGTCTTGCTGAATTTTCTATCGCTATGATAAAAAATATAATTTTTAATAGATAATTTATATTCATGGTTAATCATGTAATTTGTGTATATTTAGATTTAGAATTTTTGTATATTTAGATTTGTTTAATCAGTTGAATTTCATTATACAAAATATTTTACACACACACACACACACACACGGAATGTATTCATGAAGAATTTCTATTAGTGTTTGAATATTTTCGTGAAGTAAAGTATACGAACAACATGTATGCGTATTTTACAATGTTTATACATATTTCTACATTTGTTTGAAAATTGACCAATATAATCACCACAATCGTGCCCGATCACAGTGTTAATAATTTATGTAACGCGCTCGATATACGAGCAACCACATGCTTTATTCTTCTTGCTGGAAAATAAATATCGTCGGCAGTTTAAACTGGAAAGAGTTCGAGTTGATTAAATAGCATTGCGAGAGTAAATGAAAGAGGAAAGGCGATCGTTGCGCGTGAAAATGGCGGCCACGGCGACCGCGAGGAGATGCGTTTTCCATTTGCGAGGCACGGGAACAAACATTATCTCGAAGCGAAATTAGTTCGCCAGGGGTAAGCAAAGTAGGAAGTTTCGAAACTTGTTCGGCCAAGAACTCGACGGAAACTTGGATCTCTGAACGAGATGGATCTCTGGCAGTCTTTCTCTTCCCCTCTTTTTCGATCGCCCGGGTCTCACCGATAAACGAAATTTCATCCCGGCAACGAATTACAAAACGCTTCTATCATTTTGCAGAATTCTCGAACGCGCCGTACGCTTGAAATTTAAACTTTGAAATTCCTTTAAATTCCCGAGAGGTTAACATAGAGGTTAACATCCGAGATTTTCAATCGCAAGTGAACACGAACAGACCTGCGAAATTTTACTCGGCAATGAATTGTGAAAAGTATTCTGCCATTTTATCGCGTGGTACATTCGAAACTTGAACTCTTCTTGAACGTTTCAGAACCGAATTTAGAATTTAACACGCAGCGAGTTACACAGATTTTCCCACGGAAAAAGCGACAGGACGAAAGGACCAAAGTCTGGGGAAAAAGAGAGAGAGAGAGAGAGAGAGAGAAAAAAAAAGAAAGAAAACGTAACGTTCCTGTTTCTGCAGGGCTGCGTGCGCGAGTACCGAGAGAAAGATAATCTCGCGTGTCTTGAATAACGCATGAATCCACGGAACCCCCGAACAAACCGAGATTAATTTAAATTTCATTCGAGTCTCGCCGCCAGACACAACCCGATGGTACCATTGAAACGCGTAACGCGCACGCTTTTACAATCGGATTAATAATTTATTACGTTTGCGAGCAGATCGGCCGTGCGGGAATATAAGGGAACATAAGGTTTATTTTTATCCTCGATCTCGCTGGATCGCGAATGATTATAACAACGGCTGACTTCTGTCAGTATTTTTTTCATTCCAGAAACCTCGACACAATTGTTTGGATCATCTCTTAATCGAAAATTATGAGAAAATTAATTCTATTTCGAGAAAGAAAAAAAAAGAAAACATAAAGATCTATTCCTGTACTGTTTGAATAAAGTTGTTTGTTTCTCGAACATTTTATTGGCGATTCGTTTCATCGGGAGAAGTCGAGAAACTGAGCGCGAGAATAAAGATACAGCGAGCGAGTTTAGATTTAATTTAGTTTGACTTTTAGGCTGACTCGTTTCGAATACTATTTTTAATTTTTATTTCAGAATGAAGAAACTTACCGAACGAAATATTTGAAAATAATGCTGACGCCGATAATAATGGCGCAAGAGTATAAAATATAAATAAATTTCAAAGAAGCGATACAGAGTTCGTCCAATTAACGCGAATTAATTAACTGAACCACTAACCTCACTAAATAAATAATTATAATAAAAAAAAGGTTAACATAATAACTGATTTAAAATGAAACCTGCTAATAACAGACTTCAACAGTGCAATTTCATATTTTTATGAATACGAAAGTATTACCAAGTACGCTATATTCGATACATTCGCGTCTTCAAATTTCCCATGAATATACAAAAATCCACAACCTCCTGATCCATTAGCCATCTCTCTGTGCTTTATATATGTTTTATTTGCTTTCACGTTCTGTTTTCTCGCAATCAGTCAACCGGATGCTTACAGCTATACCCCTCGTCCTAAATCTTCTCGCTACGGTTTTTTACCCCGAGAAGCTTCGTGGTTTTTGTTGACCGTGTTTCCCCCCAACAGACACCAATGAGGAACGAGTCCGAGAGGAGCAGAAGCCCCGTCAGACCTGCGACCGTGCAATACGACACTTGCTGCCAGGGCCGAGCAACAGCCATTTACATCGACAAGTTCTCCAGATTCTTCTTCCCGTTCTCCTTCCTCATCTTGAACGTCGTTTACTGGAGCACCTTCCTGTAAAAAGACGGACGAAGACGGAAACGACGATCGCTGGATCATCTCAGACAATCTCCAACCGTCATCCATCCGTTCGATCTTTCCAGCCATTCCGATGATTGGACTGCGGATTTTTATGCGGTTTGTGTATCTTCTGACGAATACAACGAACGAAAGGGAATGGGAATGGAAATTTGTTTCACGCATATAAACGTATCTTCTCTGTGTATTTTATATATTTTTGCATTGCGTGTACATTTTTGCACCATCAAATTTCTTATGTACACGTGAAGATCCACGATCTATGGACGATTAAGCATTGATACTTTGAATGATACAAGAACGTACACGTTGTTCACGAGACAAATCGATATCTCCATCTGAAGAATTCTAACTTCGATCGCTCGACAGGGCGTGATAAGAAACCTGTTGCCGGTTTTTTTTCTCTACGACAGACAGTCTGCTAAAAGGGAAACGAGTTCAGTGTCTTTTATATAACGTAGAGAACACGAGCCGAGTTAACTAGGATCGATTAATCGTAAGAGCATCCTAGCAATTAAGTTAGCGTTCTAAGATTATTGTGTAAGAGCGTATATCGCGTTTCAAGAGTTTATATCGAATCGAACGATCGTGCAAGTACTTACCTTCCCCTCGGAGGAAGCGTTCGTCGTCGATCGCATCCCCGTACCACGTTGAACGATCTCTCCCTCCTTACAGTCCGTGTTCGTTCATCATCAAACCGATCGATCGTTTATAACCCATTGCCTTATAATACCGAGTGACATTTGCGGTCATCGACTTACAGATCGAACGCTGTCGAAGTTCAAAGAAACGTGTACTTGCGTGAAAGTTCAATTTCTACGTAGACCTCTCTCAGATAGCGATAGCAGATCAGAGGAAGTTCACAATATGGATATCATATTCTTTGCCGTGTTAGCGATAGCAATGTATTCTGAAGTGTATTTTACATTTACTCACTACACTTATGAAATATAATTCCGTTTTCTAAAAACATGCCGCATTTTCATTGCCGCTCGTCTTTGAAAACTTTCTTCCGTCTCCCAACATTGTCTGCAAATTATCGTATATAATTTTTTTTCTCTTTTAATTTGCTCAATTCAAAAAAATTACAATTGCTTGAATCAATAAAATATAGTCTTTATTATTAATTATCAATAATAGTTTTTATTGACTCGCTCCGTGTACGTATAGATCTGCGAGAAAAAGTCATAAGGCAACGGGTTAATTTCACTAGCTTTTCCAATTATTATTTACTCGATTGTCTCTTCGAGTTTTGCCACAATGGATATGCTCGATGATAATTCACATTAGTCGCGCATGTACGCCAGGCAAAGAAGTGATAAAACAGAAAGAGCGAAAAGCGAAAAAGAATTCTCCAGATCGTTCGTATCTTTTTATGCGAGAACGTTGTTCCCGTAAAGTGGGCCGATTGGAGATTGATAAAACACGAGTTTTGCAGCTTTTACGGTGTTTCGACACGCAGTTTTATGGAACAGCGTGGAAAATGTTTGCTCGCGTGGAAGTTCGATCGCGATTACGTCGTTCGCAAGAGAAACAGTTCTGCTCATTTATGCGAGGCAATTGCTGAATTTAAGGGCAAATAAACACGTGGTACTATTAACACGTAGGCGGAACGCTTTGCTGTTTGCGGAGAATCGTTGCCCCCTTGCTGCGAGGTAAATCGCGCGGACACGAAAAGGAGTGGGTTAAAGGAGCAATGAAAAAGATGAGGTTCAAACAGCGCCAACTTGTTTATTCTTTCGTTTCGATAAATCGTTTTATTTCCAGCGTTTAAACAGATTTTGGCTTCCTATCTTCTTTCGTCCTCTTCACTTTGGTTTGATGGTGAATCGATGGTGGAATCTCCTTGTCGTCGTGAACTCGACCTCGTTCCAGAGTCTAGATCCTAGACAAACTTTAGCTTACCTTTTTCCCCCCGTATTAATAAAAATAATCTTTGTATGTTAAAAATGAAAATGCCTCTCATTGAAATGTATGGAAATTAAAACAGGAAAGAAATGAAAAGAGTGATTGGTACTTGATACAAACTTTAATTTAATTTACCACCCTTTTCTCGTATTAATAAAAATGATCTCTGCCTGTTAAAAAATAAAAGTGTCTTCAATTGAAATGCATTATAAGACTGACTCAATAATTTCATTGTGCATTATAGAATTAAAACACAAAGGGAAAGAGATGAAAGAAACGATCAAATATTGAATTACCAAGCTTGGTACTTAGAGTCCAGATCCTTGGCAAAAACTTTAACTTACCATCGTTGTCCCAATAAAAGAAATCTCTGCATCTATTTGCTTCTCAGAAGTAAAGAGTAAAATTCGTCCGGATATATAAAAATAAAACACGGACGAAGAGAAGATCAAAAAAAATATATGATGAAATATAAATCGTTAAATACTGAAGAGAAAATCGTATAGAGATTAGGTCTAATCTCATATTTTACGAAACAACCTTCACGTGTGGCTTGTCATCCTTGCACGAGTTAACAATCGTGGATCTAATTAAAAATCGCGCCACTAGGTTTTTTTTTTATACTTGTCGATGATTCCCAATTAAAATTTTGTAACCATTACACAGAGGAAGATCTTAGATTTAAAACAATATAAAAATCAGCTTCAAATATTTCATATGAAACATGTTTTACATAAAACGAGATATTCATAACGCGCTTGAAAACTGTGATTGGGAGAAATTCTTTTAACTTCGTAATAGAATTTTTTAAATTCTTCCTCCGTGTAATTACAAAATATTAATTTTAATTTAAACTGCGCTCCAATTGCACGCCTCGTAGCAGCGCGACTTTTCGGTTAGATCGATCGAATAAATTAGAGTGACGGGAGTCGAGCGAAAGAAAAAGGACTCTCTGGTCCTTTTCGCGAGGTGTACACAAGTTTCTCGCAGTGAAACAAGAACGAACGAAATCAAAGAGCCTCGCCTCGTTTCCATTTTTTCTCTCGCGCCACGTTCGGATTGCGGCAGATCTTTTCGCGTTGTTGCGAACGACCAGCAGTAATTAATTGGAACGAATACGCGGCCGGGCGCCCTCGACGAAAAATAATTAAATCCGCACGTAAGGTGGCGTAATTGTGACGCGGCCGAATGTCTCTCTGCCTGTGCGAGACGAAACACGGCTGCCTCGGAAAAGATGTTCCACTTTTTTTCTCCTCGGCTGCCGCTTAATTAAAACAACGCGTCGTCTACTCTTTTTTCACCCCTTTTCGCGGTTGCTCTCCCACTACCGCCACCGATCTCTTTTCGCGCCGCTTTTAATAATCCGGAGAAACGCGAAACGTCTATCTTTCAATAAGTTTTTAATAGAGATCGTACACGTGTCACGTGTATTCAGGAATTAAAGGACACGTCATTAGCATTTTATACAGGGAATGACACATAAAGAAACAAGAAGAAAATTCTAAACGTGACAGAAAACAAAGCCTCGAATAAAAAAATTTTGTTCTATAAGTTTTTCTCATTTTTCTGTGAACAATGGTCTCTTGCTGGCTTGTACACCGACTCACCTCCTTAGTATTATACACGTCTTTCAATATGGTCTTTTGTATCCATTAGTCAAAGAATCCTCGAATGTGGATGAGTTCATTGGCCTCTTCCCGTGCCCGATTGTCGCACTTTTTGAAATTTCCATCGAAGACTAAAGAAATGGTACAGAAGAGACTTCAGACTTCGAGATCATGGTGGGATAAAGAAAATAAGAACCTCAAAGAGTAAAAGAAATTCACCTATACCAATAATAAGAAACAATCTTCTTCTTCTTCCTCTCTCGTTCTACTACACCTATTCGAAATGTTTGTTTCCTTCAACGATCAAAAAACTGCTAATCTAACCCAATAATGATAAATTTGACTGCAGTTAATTTCCGTTTCTGGGCACCACTTGAGATCGTTTCCTTGAGAACGCCGATCTAACTGTCGTCATCTACTGTCCCTTTTCTTTCCTCGATCTCTGCCACTGTCCGCCACTTGGCTTTTATTTGAAGAGAGAAACGCCAAGCCGGGATGATGAAAGAGTGTTCCGACACCCCCGCGAGCGCACGTGTGTTTAAACTCACGTGTTAGTCTACGAGGAGAGAGTTTTTAATCATGGCATTCTATGCAGAGAGAGCCTTTGTGCTCACGATGGAGATACTTTCGTCTGGTTCACTCTCCCCCCCCCCTTCCCCCTTATTCCTTCCCGTTCTCTGTTCTTTTTCCTTTCTTTTTGGCTCGCCGCTTTCTCTCTTTCTCTCTCTTTCTCTCTCTCTTTCTCTCTCTGTCAGCGCGAACAAGCTTTTAGCCGGTCTCTTCATGCTCCCTCGCGTTTCGACGATTTAACCCTCCCACTCGGCTTCACCCCTTAATCCATCCCGGTGGCCCGCGAGGCGATGGAAATTATATCTCTTTGTCGATTTTTAGGTACTCTCTCTCTCTCTCTCTTTCTAAATATTTTTTCTTCTTCTTTAATTCTTTAGATGTATTTTTATGTTGTATTTACAGTGGGTACAAAGAGTATTTGCGCGCGACCTTATTCTGCGATGAGAATGCGTTTCTCATCGGACGGAGTACGCTGTGCGTGTAACAAAGTATAATATAATTTAATTAATAACAGAAAATAATACGATCGCAGCGATGAGATACGATGTGATAATTTTTCATGATTAATTTGTGAAAAATATCGTACGTGTTGTGCGCAAAAATACGTAAAATATAATACGTGAAGTATTTTCTATTTAGTTTCGATTCGTGAAAATTGAAAATGCGATAGTGTGCGTTCCATTGATAACGCAAAATATCCAAAGTGTTTACTGTAATATATAGTAGATGAAACAAATTTCTATCCGTTTGAAATTTAAAAATGCACGAAAATTCGCAATGCAATTTTAGGATTGACTATTACTCGGAGGTTGAATATCACTTCATTCTACTTAATGTTCCTTTAATTTGCAAACTCCCTCTAAAATACTACTAAACGATACAAAATTTAAC